ATGGGAGCAAGGCAGGCGGGAATCCCCACTTCCTAGGTGATGGGGGGAGGCAGGCGGGCATCCCCACTTCCTAGGCGATGGGGGATGGGGAAAGGCAAGCGGGCATCCCCACTTCCTAGGTGATGGGGGGAGGCAGGCGGGCATCCCCACTTCCTAGGTGATGAGGGAAGGCAGGCCGGGCATCCCCACTTCCTAGGTGATGGGGGAAGGCAGGCGGGCATCCCCACTTCCTGGGCGATGGGGAAGGCAGGCGGGCATCCCCACTTCCTGGGCGATGGGGGAAGGCAGGCGGGCATCCCCACTTCCTAGGTGATGGGGGAAGGCAGGCGGGCATCCCCACTTCCTGGGCGATGGGGGGAGGCAGGCGGGCATCCCCACTTCCTAGGCGATGGGGAAGGCAGGCCGGGCATCCCCACTTCCTAGGCGATGGGGGATGGGGGGAGGCAGGCGGGCATCCCCACTTCCTGGGCGATGGGGGAAGGCAGGCCGGGCGAGCGTGAGGAATGAACAGTCAGTTTGACTGGGCTCAGACCAGGAGTCCAGGAGTTCTGAGGACCTGAGTGTACCTGCTGGTTTTCTTTTGCACGTGGTGTTCGCCCGTGTCAGGGGCCTTGTGAGCTCTTCTTCCTCCCAGTGAGGGTCTTGGCCTTCTTCCCCCAGGGCAGCTGTGATGCCTGGCATTCCAGAGCCTTGCGAGCAGAGGCCCACGTGTGGATGCGTCCCGTCAGGCGTCAGGCGCACGACCTCCGGGAGGCAGGGACCACATCGGATTTCTCTTATCCGGGTGCGGGTCCCATTGATGCCTGGAGGCGGTCCTGGGCGGCGTGGCCGCTTGGTCCTGTGGGGCACATGCCTCCTCCCGTCAGCTCGGAAGCGGTGGGGCTGCGGGAAGGGTTGGTGTTCATCTGCTTGTGGAGGAAGGCCAGGCACCTCAGCTTGTTTCTGTAGAAATTGCCAGAAGTGTAGATGACCTCACAGACCACGACCGCCACCTTCCGGTCCAGTACACCTGGTAGCCGCGGCCCGGGAGATGGCTTCAGCCGCGGAGCACACGGACCTGCCCCTCCGGCATCGCAGGCAGCTGCCCGAGAGAAAGCTGTGCTGTTGGAAGCCACCGAGCGGTGACTTGTTACAGCAGCAATTAGGAACTAATAAAATCCTCAAGGGTGATTTTTACTACAAGCCATTGGGCACTGACTTCTCCTGGTGAAGATGTGATTCAGCTCAGGGTGTGAGCCTCCAGCGGCCCAGGCATGGAAAGACTGTCCTGCCTCCAGGAGGTGCAGCTCCACAGTGGGAACCTGCTCACAGGGAACACCACACAGGGCAATGCCCGGTGCAGCGAGCACAGAGGCCCGCGTGTGGACGCGTCCCGCCCCGGAGCTGCATAGCCGGCTCCATCCCTGACCCCTCCTGATAAGGCGCACACATTCCAGTTTCTCCAACACTGAGCCTTCTCCTCTGCAGAGCGGGGCAATGAGTGTGGCTATTTCCAGGTGCTGTGAGACTGTGAAGTGTGAGCACTGCGCTGCACAGCTGTGCTCAGTACCTTGTGGCGCTGTTACTATTCTCTACAGCAGTGGTTCTCAGCCTTGGCTGCACATTAGAATCACCTATCAGATCGCTGAGCCCCTCCCCTCCCCAAGGGGAGCTTTGAACTTCTCTCGCTGAGGCAGGGAGGAGGCTCACAGAGCTCAGCCTCAATCAGATCTGTCTGACTTCAGAGCCTGCATTTTCAAACTGTCAACCTGCTGCTCCCAACGATGAGAACTGAGAACAAGGGGCTTAGGAAGCAGCTTCATTGGGGGCTGAGATAGATTGTTCTAGAAGCCAGCAGGTCTAAATGGGAGGGAGGGTGAGGAGGGGCAGCCCTCTGGGTCCCCAGCCCCTCCCCCAGCCCCTCTGGAAGGCCTCTGCCTGCCAGGCACCGGGAGGGGTGGGGCAGATAAACAAGTTACTCATTGCTGGTGCCGCTCCAGGCTCTCCCTGAGTCCCAGGAGGTGGGGCCTGCCGGGGCCAGGAGGGGCCGGCTGCATCCTCACGTGGGGATAGGAGCACAGAACACAGAAACCAGAGCCCAGGTGCTGCGGCCCGGGCCACAAGCTCCCAGGCAGAGCCTGCAAGGTGCCCGCTCTCCAGCAAGCCGATGGCACTGCCATCGAATGCCAGGCACGCAGCTCGCCAGGCACACGTGTGCTCTTATCTCCTCACCAGCACATGATGCCCACCCTGCAGGTGGGAAACGAGGCACCAAGAGGTGACAGTGAGCTGGGCTCTGGGCCTGCGGTGCCACTTGCTTCTAGGCCACAGTACTGACAGGCGTGGGTCTCCAGCGGAAGCTCGTTGCATCATCCAACGCTGGCGGGTCTGTCTCTTTTGTCCCTCTCGGCCCTTCTCTCCTCCTCTCCTCTCCTTCCGTCCTTGGCTCCCTTTCCCTGTGTCTCTTCCATAAGCACTCATTAGGCACCAGCTGTGTGCCAGGCTCCATGCTAAGCCCTGGGGACTCAGTGACAAACACTCATTAGGCACCAGCTGTGTGCCAGGCTCCATGCTAAGCCCTGGGGACTCAGTGACAAACACTCATTAGGTACCAGCTGTGTGCCAGGCGCTGTGCTAGGCATGGAGGACAACACGGTGAGCAAGGCGGACCTGGCCCGTGCAGCACGTGTGCCCAGGCCACTGGATGAAATGACACCAGGGTCTGTTGCCCCTCGCCCCGCCCAGGCGGGCACACTGGGGTGGGCTCCTGATTCACCTTCTGCGAGGGCGCTCCCTGGATGGGAGGGCAGAGGCGTGCAGAGCAGGCTCCATAACGGCGGCTTTGTTTGCAGGAACACCCTCCCCTGTGGCACCCGATGGGCCAAAGAACAAAAGGGGCCGCTCACCCTCTGCTCTGGGCGGGTTACATCACCCACAGGGCAGATGTGGGAATTTTCCACAGCCGGCTGGTGGGCAGGGGGCGGGGCCGGGGCCGCGCTCTCTCCTGAGTGGCGTCCGCTGGTGGGGTTTATTATCCTTTATAACTTGTGCCTCTGAAACATTTCATAGCGAAAGTAAAAGAAACGAACAAGATTTACAGCATAAAACCGCCTGTGTACTCAGTACATTCAGAGACATAGCCGTGCGCAGTGTTTGGCTCGGACGTGGCACAGCGGCCGAGGATCACAGACTCAGGCAGGGACGAGAACTGGGACAGAGAGAGACGAGAGCCCAGACGGCCTGCGCCGAGCGGGGACAGTGGCCCTCGAACAACGAAGCCCAACTTCAGGCCGGCACTCTCCCGGAACGGCTGTCGTGGCCCTGTGACGAGGCGCGAGGGGCACTGCGCCTTCAGGTCCCAGCCCTGCCTCTTATTAGCTCCGAGAGAGATCTCAGGCCAACAACCTCCCTGTGAATGGGGCTAGTAATCCCACGCGTGTCACAGGTTTGTCGAAAGCTCCTTATACAACATGACTGGGTCCAGAGGACTGGGTCTCTCCCTGCCCTTCTTATAAAACCGTTTAGGAAAAGAGCATGGACTCTGGTCAGGAAGACCCTGGCCCCAGCTGTGAAGCACACAGCACCCTGAGGGTCAGGTCTGAGGCCCCCAAGGAACAGATACAGGAAACGCAGCCGGTCCTGGGCCAAGGCCACCTAAAGCACCGATGCGGGCTCCACTCCGGCCTCCCCGAGCTGCTAGCCTGGCCTGCGCCTGGACCCTGGCGGAAGTACAGGGTGGAAGTACAGGGTGGAAACGGCTGCGGAACTCCAGCCGCAGCCACTCCCCCTCCAGCATCCCCTGTGGTGCCCAGTGGGGGTGGCTGCCCTCTCCACAGCCCGGCTGGCGACCGGCTCGGGACTGGGATGCCCAGCAAGGCTGTGGTGGAGGCAGCCCAGCGGGGCGGTCCATTGTGGGAGGTGGAGCGGGCACTGGGCCTGGAACTGCAGAGGGAGGAGCTGAAGGACCACTCTGCCAGCCTGAGCAGCGGGTGCTCTGGGTCCTTAGACAAAGGCTGGGAGGACGATCCCGGGGACTTTGGTTGGAGCAGAGGCCACACCGTCCCCGGCCCGTTGGGAAGGCCACATGCTGGCATCTAGGGAAGATGCCATGGGCAGGGCAGGGCAGGGCAGGGCAGGGTGTGGCAGCTGTCCCCAGCCAGCTAACAGGAGGTCACCCCATGTGAGCGCCCTGGCATTCTGTGTGACCTTGGGCCAGCTTCCTGCTCCAAGATGATCTTGTCTCACGATTCCCGGGGAGACCAACAGTCACAAGAGCACCTTGCGAGTCCACACCTGTCTATCCAAAGGCCAACGCGGATCTAAGTGGGGTCCAGCCGGCCCTGCAGACGGAACTGTCCAAGCTGGAGACCAGGACTGTCGGAGCTTCTCCTCCTGTCTCCCTGAACGGCCACTTCTCCCACCTGCTTCCTAGACCAGAATCCATTGACTCTTAATCCCATCCTATTCCACTTCCAAAGTACAGCCTGCATCCACCCACTCCCCTCACCTTGGCTTCTCTCACTGTCATCCAAGCCACTCGAGCAGGAACCTCCCGTCTTGCCTCCTGGTACCACACTTGCTCCGAGTCCACCCTCACACAGACCTCCATCAGATCAGATCAGATCAGATCAGATCACTTTCCTGCTCGAAGCACCTCTGTGCCTGCTCTGCTGTGGCCCTGCCCATCTCACACGGGCCTTCTTTTTATTCCTTGAGCAGCATTTCATACCTCAGGGTCTTTGCTACTCTGTTCCCTCTGCCTGACATGCTGTTCCCTACACGCTTGGCTTGATGAACTCCTACTCACCCTTCAGATGTCACCCCAAACAGCCTTCTCTTGACCTCAACCTAAATCTGGCCCTTACGTTATTTGTCCTGATAGCAGGCATGACGCCTCATCACCGTTGAGTCAAGCATGACATTTGACTTGCACGACTCTCATTACTGCCTGTCCCCACTGCATTGTGCCCCCAAAGCAGTGTTAGAAAGAGAAGCAGGCCCAAATGGAGTCCCTGTTGCTCAGCCCCGTCTCCAAAGCCAAGCCATGCCAGCCTGCATGCCGGCCCAGCCTCTCCCGGGAGTGGAACTTAAACCAACCGCCTGGAACTCCCTGGTCAGCACTACTGGGATCATTCGCCTTCCCCGACGGGACGCTGCCCAGGCCTGAAATGATCCACTTGTTAACTTCTTAGTCCCACCCTCTTTCCGCCTAAATAAACCTCCCCCTTTGGACAACCCCTCGAAGCGCCCTTCTAGTTGCCGGAGGGGCTGCTGCCCTATTCACGAACCCCTGGATGAAGCTGATGAGACCTGCAAGAGGACTCGGTTGAATTTGAACTTTGCTCTGTAATAGCAGCGCTCAGTAAATGGTTGTGAGACAGCAGCATGGAGTTTTCCGTGCCACATGCCCTGGTACATCGGGAACCCCCCCACCCCGACCCCGGGACACATCCCCAGGACCCCTCTGCGGGACACCTCTCCCAACCGCTGCCCCGAACCACCCAGCAGAAAGCCACTGGAAATCTGGTGTCGTGGTAGCTTACAGTCACGGGGGTTGAGTCCCAGCGCTGCCACTCCGAGAGACCTGGGCCAGTTTCTAAAAGGCTCTCAGCTCCCTCTGTGATTTGCGGGCTGTGCCCTCAGGGTGACTGTGCCCGTTAGACCAGGCCAGGACCCGCCACCCGTGCCCAGCAGGCGCCAGTGGAAACTCCTTTTGCTTAGTCGACAGCAGCTGCACTGTTACGCAGGTCGTCCCCTGCCCCTTCCCTGGGTCCTCAGACCTGAGGCTCGGCGGTTGGCCAGTGACTCGGCCAGTGGGAAAGGGGACCCACACCTGGTGCCACTGGCTGTGCCCACCCTCCAGACACTCATCTGCCTGCTGCTGAGGAGCCGCGAGCCCACGGTGCCTCTCAGCGGCAGGCTTCCTGCCGCTCTGGGTCCCGTCCCCAGGCTGCTCCCCAGTTTGCAAAATGATCATTGGAGGGGTCTTACCTTCCTCTGGGTGCGGGCCCCCTGCTCTGGGGTCTGGTGGCGGTTTCGGAGGCAGAAGGCAGGGCGCGGTGAGGAGGGGCCCGGCTTCTCCCTGCAGCCAGAGCTGGGAGGGCAGTGGCGGCCTCCCTCCTGCCTGCCTGTGGCGGGTGGCGAGAATCTTCTTGCAGGTCAAACTCCAAATTCCAGTGCAGCTGAGATTAGGAAAAGTGAGAATGGTCTTTCCAGGGACAGGGAGAGCTGGGCCTGTTGTAATGTACCCCGCGAATCACTCAAGGACGCCTCAAGAAGTCGAATTAAGGAGCCACATTTATTTCAAAGCTGGGACTACGAGGGGCAATTTGCTCTCCAAATCTCGTTGCGCCCCCTTGGCCGGAACACCAGAGTTAAATAGGCAAATATCACAAAGGTATTGATTACATCTCGAGGTTTGGAATGAGGAACCTGGTTTGCAAAAAGCAGTTTGTTACAGAAGCTAGATTGAGCTGATTCGTTATCTACAAAGATTAATTATTGTTTTGGGTCTTGAGACCACTGAGTCAACGGAAACACATTATCTGGAGCCACTGGGGCAATTTAGAGTAATTGTGCTGTCCTGGCCTCCAGGTGCAGAGGAATGTGTTTTCTAAAACCAGTATGACCACAACCAATGGGGTATTCAAATTACAATCAATGGGGTATTCAATCGAATGGGATGATTTATATAGTTCAAAAAATCAAAATAACTTTTCTATTATTTTAGGAAGCAAATAATGACAGAAGCCAAGCCAGCAGGGTTAAAATATTAAACATTCACCCAAACATGGTTGCTACCATGCTTCAGGCCCAGCCCAGCCCTGACCTGGAGCTGAGACTAGCCCCTGTGGGAAGGTGGCGGCCGAGCCCTGCCCTCAGCGGCCCGAGCCCTACCCTCAGCCTCCTGGGCCTGTACCGGAGGGCGCTCCTGGGTCCGGTCAGGGAATTGAATGGATGCCCCTCCCCTGGGAACTGCCCTGTAGGCCACTCACAACCAACATTCCCTTTCGCTTCGACCACATCCCACTTGCTAGGACCACAATTCTCTCTCCCCTCTGGACCTTCCCAGGATCCAGACCCGCCCAGAGAGTCCCCCCACCTGGAAAAGCCCACCTAGAATCCTTTACAACCTCTGGCCCCCATCCCTGGGGGCTGGTGCCATTTGGGGGCTCAGCCCACCTGTCTCCAGGTGCCCTAGTACATTTATAATTCTTACCACTTTTGGCCTTGTGCGTTCCTCCTTCAGCGACCCTAACAGGCACCACCCAGCTCCACTCACTCACTCTCCCACGGG